TGCATCGTAAGGCGACTTTATGAATATCAGTCCCACGATCATTTCTGGCTAAATCGACAGAAAGCAAACGGTTTTCAGAGGTTAACCATCGCCAGTTTCAGTATCGTGAATCTTAGGTAAGGAGCAATTTTGAACGATGAATGTTACTTCAGCGTTCTAAGTTATAGATTTGTTTTCCTTGCAATTATTTCCTGATTATTGATTCCGAAATCTCCATGCATTTATCGGTTTTAAACTTCGTCGCGAATCAGGAAATCGACAGGTAGCAAACTTAGTTTCGTCGTGGAAATACCGAACTGCACTGAAGCAAACTTTCCCAATGAAACGATCAGAGAAGGTCAGCATCAGTATCACGTGGTAACGTGTAAGCTTACAAAATCGCTACAACATAAGGCAGAATATTGAGACCGGTCAGGCTAAAAATGTTTCATTTTGTCACCTTGTCTTAAGCTTTCTCAAATTTATGAAGATCTCTCCTTATATTGTCCGTTCTCGCCCTAAAGTTCAATNTACTTCAGCGTTCTAAGTTATAGATTTGTTTTCCTTGCAATTATTTCCTGATTATTGATTCCGAAATCTCATGCGTTTATCGGTTTTAAACTTCGTCGCGAATCAGAAAATCGACAGGTAGCAAACTTAGTTTCGTCGAGGAAATACCGAGCTGCACTGAAGCAAACTTTCCCAATGAAACGATCAGAGAAGGCCAGCATCAGGATCACGTGGTAACGTGTAAGCTTACAAAATCGCTACAACGTAAGGCAGAATATTGAGACCGGTCAGGCTAAAAATGTTTCATTTTGTCACCTTGTCTTAAGCTTTCTCAAATTTATGAAGATCTCTCCTTATATTGTCCGTTCTCGCCCTAAAGTTCAATTACAAAAAAATAAGTACCGCTTGAACGTTCTGTCCATGGCTTAATCTAAATTATTACGTAATAGAGTTTTATCCAGAAATTTCATGTTAAAATATATTTTCTACTCCAGGTTTGATTCCGATCATTTTCTTCAGTTCTTTGCCCCTTATACCAATTCGTGAGGTTTGATTTTAAGAACAATGAATAATCAGAGAACTTATCAGACGAAGAAGATTATAAAATTGGCAGATACTTATGGCAAGTATAAATATAATTCTCAACGCAATACATACATCAGAACCGTAAACTATTAAGAATGGCACAGTTAGTTTTAACTAAAAAAAATGTACGTAAAGCTGTTCTCCTGTTACCATACAATTCCAGACATCTCGCACGTTTTCACAAACAGGCAGTTTTTCCAATGTGTGAGGGGAATTTTGGCACGAAATGTTCCGCTACTCTCCATTCACACACTGAATTGAAAGCGGTAA